GGGAGGGAAGAATGCGCACCAGGACAAGTGTGGTGCCGGCGAAAGGGGTTCCTGGACGAGTGCAGGACTTGTCCGGGTGGAAGAGAGGATCACTGTTTGAGGCGCTCATCTTGGATGGAGACGGGGAGGCGAGGAGGAGAGCGACGAGGGGAGAGGGGGCGGGGCAGAGAGAGAGAGAGAGGCGCGCGCGCAAGAAGGACGACGAGGGGAGGAGGGAGAGGAGGGAAGGGGAGAGATGGTAACCTTTCTCTGGGGCTGAGAGGCCCGGGGCCCCGGGGCCTCATGAAGTGATGGCTCACCTGGCCCGGCGGGGGGGGGGGGCTAAGATGGAGACCTGAGTGGCAGGGATCGCCGCGGGGTGCTAGATTGCCTGACATCCTTGGTGTCTTGCGGCCATCGGGAAAGCGGACCCTGCCGCCGGCCGAGGGAGAGGGACCCAGCGAGAGCGGTCTCTGTGGCCGGTGTGTGTAATCTCGCCAGGAAAAACGCCCCCCGCCCTCGGGGCGGCCCTGGCTTTCTCCACGTCGCAGCGGCAACACACCAGAGCGCGTGGACGGAGAGCCCAGTGACAAGCCTCATTGCCGTGGGCCCGCCTCCAGTCAGTGGACGGGCTTCCGTCCGGGGATGTTGAAGAAAAGAATGGCCTGGTGGGGGGTGGCACATCAACAGCACGCCTCCACGGGGTGGGGGGGGGGGCGCGCGCGGGGAACGTGGGCCCAAACGGGCGGGGTGGGAAGCACCAATACCGGACCCTGGGCTTATGTGACAAACCCGCGGCATTGTCTGATCGGGAGCGGCGGGTCAAAGGGTGCCCCGCCCGCTGGCCATCGCCCCCCCCCCCCCCCCCCCGCCCTTCGTTCAGGCGCCCTCCGGGCATCTGGCACGCTTCGGGGCCTTTCGAGGCGGGCTCCCGCAATGTGGCGCATGGAATCCGGGTGTGCGAGGGAGGGCGCGCGAGCTGGGGGTGGGGTCAGAGGGAGACAGAGAGAGAGAGCGAGAGAGAGAGAGAGGCAGCAAGAGAGTGGCCGGGAGAAAAACACCATCGACAGGGCGGGGGGGCACGCAGAGGTCCTGCTAACGCCTCTTCCTCGGAGGTATCTTGGCCTTTGGCGTACACAGAACCGCACCTTCCCCGGGCACATCTGGCGCAGCACCGGGGGAGAGGGGGCGGAGAGCCCGGGTGTGGAACGTTCCAGCCGTTGGGGCACACATTGAGATGCCAATTTTCACATGGCCACTTTTTCGAGGGGTCGCGCAGCCCCGGCGTGTGCACAAGCGCACAATAGGGGCACCCGCCGGATCGGCCCCCTCATGCTGCAAGCGAAGAGACTACGTGTCCTTGGGCGGGCCTCGCCCGCCCGCACAAGCAACGATGCAGGCGGCCATGCAACGCCAAAGACAACAGGCCCCTGAGCAACCTACACGGTCGGCATCCCGGGGCGTACCGGGGGGGGGGGGGGAAGGGGGTTGGACTGGGCCGGAACTGGGGCAGAGTGGGCCAGGGGCGGGGGGCGGGGGGGGCTGGGGGGCCAGACATAACAAGCGCCACGAAAGAGGCTGTCCGGCAACGTGTGGGGGAGATCCGCGCCCGGTCTATTGGCTCGGTGCCCGGGGGTACGTGTTCATGGTGGCGTAATCGGCGTCCCTGGGCGCGAGGTCCACGCCTATGCGTGAGAGTGTGTCTGTGTGTATCGTGCGCTCCGGGACATAGGCGTGTCTGCGTTTGTGTACTTACAGGCGGATGAGCCCCACCTCCCCCCCCCCCCCCCACGGGGACGCCCCCCCTGCCCGATTGCCCTTGCCCCAGACCGCATACCCCTCGCATGCGAATGATAGCATGTGTGTGTGTGTGTGTGCCTTGTGTACGAGAGGATCCTTGCGCGCCGGCCCGGGTAACGAGCTCCCGAGAGGGGGCCCTCCGCCGAGGGGGGGGGGGGGGGGCCGGGGGACGGGCCGGGGTCGGCGGGCCCAAGATGTGTATTGTGGGCCGGGTGCGTGCGAAACAATTGGCCCATGCCCGCAGGCCCCCCCCCCCCGCCCCCCCGCCCCCCCCTCCCGACCCCGCCCTGTGCGGAGCCGCTTCGCAGAGGAGACCAGCTCGATCGCCTGCCTCTCGCCAGTCCCTGCCACCCTGGGGTCGGCCAGAGACCGAGAGGGGAGAGAGAAGGTCCCTCGCGTGCCGGATGCCGGGCGCGTGAAAATCCCCCCGCCCCCGCCCACTCAGGCAACATCGATGGCAGCACGAAGGGACTGATCGACCAGGGGGCCGCTGGGCTGCTGGCCCGGAGCGAAGGGAGTCCGGAGCCGGCGAAGGGCCAGGCTCGTTGACAAGTGTATGGGCACCCGTCCGAGCACATATGCTCGGACAGTGTGGGCGAGAGGGGGGGGGGGGGACAAGCCAGCACGCAGCCAGACGAATGGATGTCAAAGGTGCCGGGCCATCCGGCACCCAAACAAACGCAGATCTCACGGGCGAGGCGCCTCTCAATCATATCGTCCGGAGGCGCGCATCCCTTGATGGACGTGCACACAAGTACCCTACGCAGGGACGGCGATCGGGGGTACCAAGCTCCAGCCACTCGGGCTCCCGGGATCCGGCACACGGGGAGCCATCAGTGACGAGGAGTCTCCCCAAGATAGGGCGGCTTCTCCCAATCGTGGGTATACATGAGGGTATGTGCTCTTGAGGGGGCAGGTGCATGTGTCCCCCCTCTCGCAGTCCCGGTGTGTATGCACGCACATTTACATTCCCCAATACCCACGCAGATATATGCACACGTCTCTTACACATGCGCTCCGATCCACTCAGGGGCATTGCGACCGAAGTGCTCGCACGGGACCGGCGAGAGTGGCTGATCGGAGGGAGTGGCGAAGAACAGCACCTCGCTCGATCTGCCTTGCTGCCTTCCCTCTCTCTCTCTCACCCCAGGGCAGGGGCGGCAACCACATCGGGCCCTCTCCGTCGCTCAGTCGATGGTAGCCAATGGTCGACGCACGGCCCCATGCGCCGGGACACATTCACTTTTCACACACTCGCAGGGGGGTCGGTCCCTCTCAGCCGATGCCTCCGCGGCACTTGGAGGGTCGGCTGCTCCGCGAACAGGCCCCCCCCCCCCTCCCCCTTGCTTGGTCCTATCTTCGGGCCATTACACTCATCCCCCTCTCCCCTTCCTTGCAAGCATGATGCCTGCCTGGAAAAGCTCGGTGGTCGGGGATGATCACAATATCGTGATGTGGACACAGGAGCGCTCGCGCTTGCCTGTAGCACCCGATCCCGCCCGCTCCTCCGTGGAACACCCTCCCTGGCCATGGCAGACAAATGTCAACTACCATGGCACAGGGCATCTCGCATGCAGCAGTTGTTATTGTTGTTGTTGTTGCCGCTGCTGTTGTTATTGCTCTTGTCTTGCTAACGCTGTTGTGGCTAGCGCGGCTGTGGCAGCACCTGCTGCTGTTGTTTTTTTGCTGGCCAGCGATTCGCCCCTTTTCCGCTTCCCCCGCTCGGCCTGCCAACCGCACTTGCCTCTGACATCACTCATTAATTCCTCCCTCCCCGGACCGACCCCCCCCCCTCTCACCACACAAGGGCAGCAGGTCCACGGTTGGGCCCTTCTGACCCACGATCAGGTCCATTGCCTCCTTGCCATAGTCCCGGGTGCCACAATGCCACGCTCACTCCGCCCCCCCCCCCCCCCCGACCGCCGGGCATGCGCTTCTCGGGCTGCTGAGGGCAAGAACCCCCTTGACGCCCACCTCTCACCAAACACACCCATCCCGTTTTCGGATTCACACTCCGCCCCGAGGCCGGGCGGCGAGAAGGCTGACGTTCGATATGGCCTAAGATCAGGCAATGCCCAAGGGGGGCAGGGGGCCTTGTCGAGACAGGACGAGAGGGGTGATGACAGAGAGAGAGAGAGAGAGAGACAGAGAGAGAAAGCGAGGAAGACAGAAAACAGCCAGATGGCATCCCCGGTATGGCGGCTCGACGACTGCCCCAAATTTCGAGCCGTGCCCCCCTGGTAAGCGGGCACCACACTGGCCATCGGAC